TGGCTGGTGCCTTAGCCACTTGAGCCACAGGCGCCGAGCCCACTTAAAAACTTTTAACAGTTGTCTCCATGGAAGGAAACTGATTGGTTGGCTTCTAGTTTCAGGAGTTATTAGTTTCAATGGAGGGCTCTGGATCAGAGTTTCTTAACACGTTAAATATCAGCAGATGGCTTCCTGATTAAAAACATTCAGGAGATATCAAAAACAATTGTGATTTCCCTCTTTCATAAGCTCTTTATCTTAAAAGTCATTTTTGTTTTCAGGAGGTATAAGAAAAAGGCAATTCCTTTCCTTCCATATCCCTGAAAAGTAGTCCCAACGCTCTTCCAAAACTCAGTAACTCTTAGGAGGATGAGGCACTTTTTAATCAGTTGTATCTGGGACTCCCCGTACACATTCTTGAGCTAGTCAAACAGGAGTCTCAGACCTGTCCTTCCCTTTTTAAGAGTGATTTGGAAAACTTTTTCTTCTTTGTTCCCTAAGCAAAAGCGTATTCCCAGTGTAGTTATGGAACTTTGCCATCATCTTGAGTGAGTGTTGAATCTCTTATGGTATGGATACAGCATCACGTGCCCTCAAAATAATTATAAATGCCTTTGAAATTCTAGGATAATTTTTTCCTCAGGAGACCCATTCAATTCTTGGGTTCTAAGATCTCTCAAAACGTACATCTTGTAAATTATATTTATTACAAACCACTTCCATTAAATATTACTTAAAATATTTATTATCATTCACTATGAATTACTTCTCAGAGGTAGTTTGAGAATGGATTTGTTCAGAATGCAGTGAACTAAATGGTATGTTCTTACACTGTCTTCTGTCTTGAAATATTTGAGTACATTTTGTGAAAAATGGCCTCTTGTTTTTGCTTTGTTTTATCACAAAATAGAAAGAAGAAGGAAAGCTTCAAGGACAGCTTAACAAGTCTGATTCTAACCAGTATATTAGGGAACTGAAAGATCAGATAGCAGAGCTGAATCATGAGGTAAGTGATAAATTTTGATCTTCACATATTCCTTCCTTCCTTCCTCTGTATTGTAACAACACATTGTTACTGGTTATAAGACTGATTCTTTTGTGTTAAATACAGCATTTTCTATATATTCTTGGTTTTAATTAATATTTTTCTTAAGACTATCTTCTTTTTCACAAGGATTTTTCTGTTCTAATATTAAGGATTTCTTTTCCTCAAACCTTTCAATCATGACCTAAAATGATCAATTAATATTTTCATGGCAAATATTTTATATTTTTATTGTGGTATGAAAACTCTGGATTGTTTGCCTGAATGTCAAAGTTTCTTCAAGTAAACTACAATTTTCCTTATACCTCTGGAATAGATTTGTGGTATTTACCGTTGTGGGTACAGAGAAATTCTTTAGCTCTTTTTCTTCATTCTCCCTCACGGGGATGTTACTGAGATTGCAACAAAGGATACTTGCCTAATATCAGTTAACAGATTTCTTAGTATTTGAATGGTTTTTAAACTGGTATTACCTTGAATTGATGAGATTCAACTCACAAAATTTTTAGAGTTTTACTAGGTATCATACTGAGTGATTTAAATTATTTAAACTAAAGCGTTTGACTAGAGAGATAACTTTTTGTTAATGTGGCTAAAGGTCAGTTTCTTTGTCTTTTATTATTTTCTAATGATAAATATCTGGCTGAACATCAGTGGAAAACCATGTTTCATATTTTGAATTACTTGTAAAATTTTATTCATAGTGGTGAGATTTGGAAAGGTAACATAAACCTCATTGGCTTAAAAAAAAAAAAAGAGGGGGACAAAAAGAAACTCATTTTGACCACTAAATAAATTTAAACCTCAAAGGAAAAAGTTTAGACATTACCCTTTCCTGGTATTACACCCTTCAGTTAAAGTCTGAGTGTTTTGAGTAATACTTCCTAGACTCCCGTAGTCAATCTAAGAAAAAATTCTAAATGAAGAAGGAAAATAAACAAAAATGATAAATTTTAGATGTAGTTCAATTTGTTTTGAAATTTAGGAGATCATTTCTATAAATATTAATTTTCAGCCATGATAACATTTGATGCAAGATCTTATTTAATCTTTACCTATTTGTGTCTATTTTTTATAATCTGATATTTATATAGCCACATATGAAAGAATAAGTCATAAATAAGCATGTTCTAGAAATCCTTACTATCTTGAGAGCCATAGGAATTGTTTCATGTTCAAAAAGGTGGGGTTTTTTTGAGACAGAGTCTCACTATGTCGCCCTTGGTTGAGTGCTGTGTCATCACAGCTCACAGCAACCTCAGACTAACAGAGTTAAGTGATTCTCTTGCCTCAGCCTCCTAAGTAGCTGGGACTACAGGTGCCCGCCACAATGCCCAGCTATTTTTCATTGCAGTTGTCATTGTTGTTTAGCTGGCCTGGGCTGGGTTTGAACCCACCACCCTCAGTGTATGTGGCTGGTGCTATAACCACTATGCTGTGGGCACTGAGCCCAAAAAGGTGTTTTTGGGAAATTATGACTAGAATAAAGCAACCTCCCATTTAAAATTTTGATATCTAGCAATGGTGAAGTTTTAATCTTGCTGAAAAAAAAATTGTATATAGATTGACTTTATTTCTAAAACTAGCCTAAAAAAGCAGTCAAGAAATATTAAGTTTGCTTGTCATGCACCTTGACTAAAAATAATTCTCCTTATTAGGACTATCAGAAAATAATTCACATGAATTTTAGCTTTAATATGTAGTCGTTTCTTTAATGTGTAGCCTACAAAAAGCACTTGTTTTATAAAAACGTGAAAAGAAAAGCAACAGATCAACAGAGTAGAATTTTCTACTATTAAAGTTTAAGGGCTCGGCGCCTATAGCTCAACCGGCTAAGGCGCCAGCCACGTACACCTAAGGGGGCGGGGTCAAATCCCCAGCCCGGACCCGCCAAACAACAATGACGGCTGCAACCAAAAAATAGCCGGGCGTTGTGGCGGGCGCCTGTGGTCCCAGCTACTTGGGAGGCGGAGGCAGGAGACTCGCTTGAGCCCAGGAGTTGGAGGTTGCTGTGAGCTGTAATGCCATGGCACTCTACCCAGGGGGACAGCTTGAGGCTCTGTCTAAAAAAAAAAAAAAGTTTAAGAGCTAGACTGTGCAAATCAAAGTCTAGAAACCAAACGGTAGTTATCTTTTGTTAAGAAAAGGATACAGCCTTTAGAGTATTTTTATTCATTAATACCCTTCCTTGTTCCATAGAGGATTAAGGAAATCTACAAGTGCCACAAAATAGCAGCAATGCACAATTTGGGGAGAAAAAAAGGAAAAACAACTGTAGAAATATAGCATGGAACCATGAATAAGGCCAATATAAAAAGACATACCACAGCAATACCTATTTCCTGTAAGCGGGCCTCACACTGGGCTCCAAGATTTTCAGCAGTCAACACAAAAGGGGAAACCTGGTTGCTTAAACTTTTCAGAGTGTCTGTGTGATAAACAGAGAGCAGTTAGAAGAGCCACTGCTATTCCTGATACCGACTAAGGAGCAATTTCTTGATTGCTTCTTCATCAAGGAGACCTAGTATGAATTCCCTGGTTATCTTCTTTAGCATTCTATGAGAATGGCTTCGTAATTATAAAAACAAACTTTATTTTTAAACTTTTATATAGAAGCATAACATATAAAAAGTACCCAGGTCACAAGTTTTCATCTATAAATACCACCAAGGTGTCAGAAACGGACCCTCTCCCAACCACTGCTCCCTCGTCTTCAAAGATAACCATGATCTCAACTTTTAATACAGTCATTTAAGTTTTTGGAACTTTATGTAAATTGATTTATTCTTTTGTATCTTGCTTCTTTTGCTTAACATTATGAGATTTCATTTCGTTGTTTTAGAGTATAGCTGGAGGTTGTTCATTTTCAGTGTTGTGTAATCTTCCTTTGCATAAATATGCCGTGGTTTATTTATCTATGTTGGTGAACATTTGGAGTATTTCCAGTTTTGTCTTTTCACAACATTACTGCAAATGGTTATGCAAGTTTACGCTCTGATAAGCAGTGAAGAGAGTTCTGACTGTTCTGTATCCTCACCAGTATGTGGAACTGTCAGTCTTATTTTAGCCATTCTGGGACTATGAAGAGGTTTCTCCTTCTGGATGTGATGTGCATTTTCCTGAGTAGTGATGAGATAAGTACCTCTCCCCCAGTATCTAGAACAGTGGTGCCATGTAGGATGTGCTTCACGAAAATGTTTGTGAAAGGCCTTGTGGATGAGGTAACATATAAACTGTGACTGGAATGCTAAGATGCTTCCTAATGTATAAAAATCAGTGGAAAGAGCATTTCAGACAAAAAAAAAAAAAAACCCAACGCAAAATCCCTAGAGGAAAATGGAGCGGCTTTTCTGAGAAACAATATTAGTGTGGCTAGAGTGTAGTGGACAGTGGGGAAAAAGGTATGATATAAGATTACGTGTATGGGGGGAATCAGATCATAGACAGTCGGCCCTCCTCTTATGGGGTTTCCCATCCATGGATTCAAACAACTGTCAGTTGAAAAGATTTAAGAAAATGCATTTCAGGCGGCGCCCATAGCTCAGTGGGTAGGGAACCAGCCACATAAACCGAGGCTGGCGGGTTCGAACCCGGCCCACGCCAGCTAAACAACAGTGACCACTGCAACAAGAAAACAGCTGGGGGTTGTCGTGGGGGCCAGTAGTCCCAGCTACCTGGGAGGCTGAGGCAAGAGAATTGCTTTTAAGTCTAAGAGTTTGAGGTTGCTGTGATCTGTGACACCACAGCACTCTACTAAGGGTGACATAGTGAAACTGTCTCAAAAAAAAATTGCATCTGTATTTAACATGTATGGACTTAAAAAAAAATTTCCTAAACAATATTGTAATAACTGTTTCCATAACATTCATAACATTTATGTTGTATTAGGTACTGTAAGTAATCTAGAGATGATTCAGAGTATATAGGAGGTTGTGTAGGGGTTATATGCAAATACCTGCACACAAGGAACTTGAGCCTCAGTGGAGTTTGGTATCTTTGGGAAGGCCTGGAACCAGGAATTACAACTAAACAATGCTTTGTAAGGCAGGGTATGTAGTTTGGGTCTTATTCTTAGCACAGTGGGAAGCTTTTGGATAGCTGTTGTATTTGTTTAAGAGACAGAGTTTCACTGTGTTACCCAGGCTGGACTCAAACTCCTAGACTCAAGCAATCCTCTCCCCTCAGCTCCCTGAACAGCTGGGGTTACAGGTGCACACCACTCATACTTAGCTTCTTTGGCTGGTTTTAAGCAGGAAGTAAATGATCTCATTTGCCCTGCTTGCTGTATGGTGAGCTGATTATAGGAGAGAAAGAGTGGAAACAGGGAAATTCCTTAGCAGTCTGTTACAGTCATCCGGATAAGATCAAAGGTAGCTTAGAAGGATGGATGAAGTGGAAATGTTGTAATGTGGATGTATTAGAAGTATGTTTTTCTCATAAGAGAAAGCAAGTCAGTGGCTTCAGAGATTTTTGGCTTGAGCAATTGAGAGTGGTTGGTTGACCCATATTAAGGAAGGGTAGAAAACCAAGAGCTCTGCTTTATTTATGTTAAAATTAAGATTCATGTTAAACATTGCAATGAAGTTATCAAGCAGTGGATATATGAGTATGAAATTCTAAAGAGTAGTCAGTGTTAAAAATAGGTGGAGTACTCATTGGCATGTAAATAGCATTTGTATGTAAAGAGACAGGCATCCAGGAGCAAATTCTGAGGCTTTTCCAACCTTTAAAATCAAGAGAGCCAACAGAGGAGACCCCAACCACCAGTGCCATAGGAGAGAAATTGTGGAGACACAGGAATCCTAGAAGGAAGATAGGAGCATTTCTGTGTAGTTATTTCCATTAGATTTTAACTTCCCTTGATCCTTTTGGCAAATAAACTTATTTTTAAAATGTCTTCAGAATTTTCACCGTTATTAGAGAAAGATGGACGATTTAAAAAAGAACTTGAGAGAAGGAAT